CTCCTCCTCATCCTCCTCCTCCTCCCCCTCCTCCTCCTTCCCTCCTCCCTCCCCTATTTCTTCTCCTCCTCCTTCTCTGGAAAAGACTTCTTCGATCATCGTCATAATCAATAATGCCATTATTATTATAATACTAGTAGGCTCTTCATCATCAATTCTGTCGTTATCGTCAGTGTTGCTATCTTACCCACCATCTCGCTGTCCTGGATCATTGATTCAATCCCCATTCCATCACCCTACGCTGCCTTACCCCTCACCCCTCTATCCTCACTTACTTGCTCAAACCCTCTCCATCACCCTCTTCTGTCTTACCTATCATCTGTCTCTGTCCTCACTCAACCCCTCTCCTCATCATAATCCTCTGTCTTACTCTTCCTCTCTCTATCCTCGCTTACTCACTCAATCCCCTCTCTATCACCATACGCTGCCTTACCCATTATTTCTCTAGCCTCACTTACTTACTCAACCCCTCTTCTTTACATAACCCTCTTCTGCCTTACCCATCATCCCTCTATCTTCGCTTACTCAAACCCTTTCCATCACCTTCTCCTGTCTTACTCATCATCTCTCTGTCCTCACCCACACACTCAACCCCCTCTCCATCATAACCCACTTTCTTACCCATCCTTTCTCTGTCCTCACTCAATCCCCTACATCATTACTTTCTTCTGTCTCACCTATCACCTCTCTATCCTCACTCACTCACTCACTTAACCCTCTCCTCATCATAACCCTCTGTCTTACCCATCATCTCTCTATCCTCACTTACTCACTCAATCACCCTCTTCTTTCTCATCCATCATCTCTCTTTCTCTGTGTGTGTGTGTGTGTGTGTGCGTGTGTGTGTGTGTGTGTGTGTGCGTGTGTTTGTGTGTGTGTGCGTGTCCTCAGTCAATCCCTCAACACCCACTCCATCACCCTCCTCTGTCTTACCCATCATATCTCTAACCTCACTCACTGACTCAACCCCCTCCTCACCATAACCCTCTGCCTTACCCATAATCTCTATATCCTTACTTACTTACTCACTCACTCAAACCCCTCTCCTGTTTGACCCCCAGGTCGTGAATTCGGCCCAGTGTCTATCCCTCTGCTGTTTGCCGCCGGTGTCCTTTTCTGGACACTTCTGGAGTACGTCATTCACAGATGGCTGTTCCACCTCCACCCCCCGGCCAACTGGCCATTCCTCATCCGCCTACACTTCAGTCTTCACGGGCAGCACCACAAGGTGAGGAGAGCATTTCCTTTTGTTAATGTATTATTACGAAACACATTTGTGTTAAATTAAAGAATAGCTGAATTAATTAATTAATTAATTAATTAATTGATAACTGAATGAATGAATGAATGAATGAATGAATGAATGAAAAATGAATGAATGAATGAAAATGAATAAATTAATGAAAAATGAATGAATGAATGGATGAACTGCTTTTTATTGATCCCTGTTCTTTACTCTATAAAACTGTCTTTACGTCCACCAATAACAACTTATCTCATCAATCTATTTATCCATCCACTCATCAACTCATCCATCCATCCATCTATCCGCCAAGTTTTCCCCCCACCTACTCGTCCATGACCTTTCAAAACCCAATCTGGACCTCCACAGTCTCTGATGGACCCTATGCGTCTGGTTTTCCCTCCTCTGCCCGCAGATAAACAAATGAATGAATGAATGAATGAATGAAGGAATGAATGAATGAATGAATGAATGAATGAATGAATGAATGAATGAATGAATGAATGAATGAACTGCACTTTATTGATCCCTGTTTTTCCCTCTATAAAACTGCCCTTGCGTCCACCAATAATTACTTATCTCATCCATCCATCCATCCATCCATTCATCCATCCATCCATCCATCCATCCATCCACCAAGTATTCCATCCTCCCACCCACTTGTCCATGACCTTTCAAAACTCCAACCTTGACCTCCACAGTCTCCTATGGACCCCATGCGTCTGGTTTTCCCTCCTCTACCCGCCTCCATCTTTGCCGTGCTGTTTTACCTCGCCTGCCACGCCTCCTTACCTCACGGCATGGCCAACTCCGTGTTCGCGGGCATCGTGGTGGGCTACATGGCCTATGACCTCACCCACTACTACATCCACCACGGACAGCCCATGTTTCCTTACTTCCAGAGGCTCAAGCGATACCACACGCTCCACCATTACGAACATCAGCAGTTAGGTGAGGTGTCAGTCAGTCTTTGGATAGTACTTTAAATGCATCAATCGATCAATCAACCCATCAGCTAATCAATCAGTTAAACCATCGATCGAGATCAATATATCAATCAATCATATCAATTAACCTATCAGCCAGTCAGTCAGTAAATCAGTCAGCCAGTCAGTCAGTCAGCCTATCAATCAATCAATCAATCAATCAAGATCAGTTAGTCAACAAATTTGTCAGTATCAATCATCACTCGATAACTCAATCAATTCATTACGCAAGCAAGCAAGCAAGCGGGTTATTAATTAATTCAATCAATCAAACAATCAATCAACCAGCCATTCAATATTATTCCATAATAGCCACTTAGAAAAAAAATTATAAGGAAGGTGTATTAGATTACACATCTTGATATCTTATGGGTTCATTGTTCAGGCTGTATACTTACAAATAATCCTCTTGAAATGTTTTTCTTTCATTGATCAGGTTCATACCTACAAAATATATAGGCAAGGAATCTAAACATTGTGCACAATGTTATTTGATAAACATCTTGATACATAATGGTTTTATTTTTTAGGTTCTATGTCTACAAATAAACCGATATATTATTGAGATGTTGTTTAATTGTTTAGGTTCTAAACCTTCAAATATACACATCATTGATATATCGTTGTCTAATTCTTATAGTTCTATACACCCACATAAACATCTTGATATCTTGTGTGTTGATTGTTTAGGTTTTATGTCTTGAACATGCAGTTTGATATCTATTGATTTCATTGATCAGTTTCAAGTCGACAAAATGCATAGGCATGGTGAAACTTAAACAATATTATTTGATAAACATCTTGATATCTTGTAGTTTCATTGTATAGATTACATGCTTGTATATAAACCTCTTAATATTTTTATTATTGTTTCATTGTTTAGGCTCATGCCTAAAAAATATTTTCATGGTGGAACCTAAACATTTTTTTGGTTATTTGATAAACATCTTGATATCTTGTGGTTTCATTGTTTTGATTCTATGCCCCTAAATAAACTTCTTAATATCTTGCAGTTTCATTGTTAGTCTTCAAATAATCATTTTGATATCTTGCTGTTTTATCGTTTAGGTTCTATGTCTACAATTAAACAACCTACTATCGTGCGGTTTAGTTCTATGTCTACAATTAAACATCTTACTATCTTGCTGTTTGATTGTTCAGGTTTCGGCATCTCATCAAAGATGTGGGACTATCCATTTGGCACCCTCATTCCCGAGGATCAGTCGCAGGTCAAGACGAAATGATAAATGCTTCCAGTAGAACTTGTCGTCGATAGATCTTCCTTCTCCGTGCAGACGAAGACGTGTGATGACGTCACAGTCCATGGCGATGTCACGTGATCTGAAGTGAAGAAGAGACGAGAGAGAAATGAAAAAAACGGCTTATGTGACTTTCAAAGTAAAGCCTCCGCCCGAGTCAACAGTGATTTCGAGGACAGGCGTGTTTGTTTCTTTATTTTCAGGGAATTTTTATGTGAATAATTCTTTTTAATAATATTTATAGCCCTATGTGATAATATCCTATCTGCTCATTGAACTTATAATGAAAATTCCTAAATGCAAAAAGTCTATAAAGGGTGGTGCAAAGGTCACTTTCCACGTGACTTTTCAGAAGGGGATGGGGGGGGGGAGGTTTTGTTTGGGTTTTTTCTTTTTTTTCTTTTCTTTGGAATTTTTTACTGGGGTTCGGGTGGGGTGTCTTGGTTTTGGGTTGTTTGCCGGTTGTTGTTGTTGTTTATTCCTGTAATGCAAAGTTAATGAAGATTTCTGGTACATTTACGCTATTGGCTTTGGGTGATGATTCAGCTTTGCACTAATCGTAAAACACACTTTGGAGTGTAAAAAAGGAAAGTAACCTTTTGCACCACCCTTCTCTATAATAGTATTAAATCATACAACCACACAAGTTCCAACTGATCAGTTGTCAGCCAAGGGAACTTGCAAATGACTGCATCCCTCTCATCATTGTCCATATCCAAAATATCAGTCTACTACATGTGTATTGTGGCTTGAACATATCGCGAGCGGAGTGCTATCTGGTGCCCTTTCCAGTTTCCGACGTTTCAGAGCTTTTGTCAGTGGTCTAGAAGCTTGAAAAAAAACCTATTCTTTGAGCCAAAGTTATCACGATTTATGCCTGTGTTTCGTAAAATTTTCAGTTTCATTTTTAACCAACTCCCGTTTTAGCGACTAGAATTTAGTGCTTTTAAAGCGATTTACCTCTTTATATTTCAATTTTTACATTTTAATCCCCTATTGCCGTTGAGCGTCGAGAAAAGATGCTGTTTTCTATGGTAATCCAACACTACTACTCTTCCAATTAAGATGTTGTAGCTTCTGAGGATTCCCTTGACTCCCTCAGTCCATCTTTTTGCTTGGCCTACCTCTTCCTTTGTAACCTGAGTAATTGGTATTATAGGCACCCCGGAAAATGGAGCTAGTACCAGATAGCACTAAGATAGCGATATAATCCTCCCACCTCTCGCAAATGAAGTTTCGCTTTCTCTTGTGACTGCATGCCTTTCAGTCTCTTAATTAATAACGTGTCCTATCCTTTGGTGTCCGTTCATGTGCCAACAGTGTGTACATAATAAACGTGTGTGCCAAGTGATTGGAAATATAATTGTGTCCACGATGTTTTCATATTACATGTAATAATAATATTAAAAGGTTTTAAGTCTGCGAGTACATTGTGTTTTATTGCAACAAGCGGCCTTTCTCAGAAATCAGAAGCGAACAATTTAGTACGAAACTTGATGCAATGCAAATTTGCTGAAGCTATAATATAATTAGATTATATCAAGAGAAGAATGATTTCATTTTATAAATGTTATGGCATTATCGTTATTACCATTATGATCGTTATCAACTCATAAATATCATTATAATTATTTTTTTTCTATCAATATTATTATTGTTGTTATTGTAATTGGCCTATTATAATTTTCTCAGTATCCTGTTTATCATCATCATCATCATCATCATCATCATCATCATCATCATCATCACAATGGTCATCCTCATCATCTATTTATTTATTTATTTATCTGGTCATTTATTATCAATGTCATCATTTATGAATATTATGATAAGTAGTGCTTTAAAGAAAAATATTGCTTTTCTTAGAATTATTACTTTTAACACGACATGCTTAACATTAAACCATCTGATAGCATTCTTTGAAGGCACGCTCAGTAGCAGGAGGTGTGTAGCCTTTGTCTTTGGGGAAAAGTATTTGATGTGACTGTCCTCTTTCTCTCATTCCCTTCTTCCTTCTTTCCTTCTACTTTACTCAAAACACAGCATGATACCCTTACCTTCTTAATTGTGATCTGTTTTGTTGCTAAGTAGAAATTCACACTTATACTAAAGTCAGTTGAAAAGATTACAGTCTATCGTTAATTGTTTGGAGAGGGGGTTAAAGGGGGGTGGGGGTGGGGGGTTGTTGTTCTTATGTTGTCGTTTTTGTTTTTATGTTGTCGCTTTGGGAGGGAGCTTTGTTTGCT